AATGGGTTAATGTTGGACTTGTGGGCTTGGGCAGCATTGGGTTGGGATGTTTTCGTGATGCACATTTTCTTTACATAAAACTCTCTTACACATGAGTTGCTGTGGATTTGTTTCTCCAAAGTACCCAGACTAATACACTCACCCACATACAGAGCTCCATTGATGTTCAGTTGCCTCATCATGCCTGGCGACTTGCCGGTTCTGGCGCCGTAATCGTCCACAGTGATCTTTCCCGACGGGCCATCCCTGTAAACAGCAACATCTCGTCTGCCCCAACCCGTCAGGCATTTCACTAAAAATGACTGGCGTTCTTGTGTACACAAACAAGTACAGCCCTAAAGGTGCAAGAGCCCTGGGGTGGGGGTGGGGGGCAGGTAGCGGGCTACGCATTGGGCTGCTCACCACAAGGTGCCATCTGCTACCCCGTGCGGATACCATGAGGCTCTCTGCTCCCAGAAAGATGCAAAGTCTTGGGAAACCCCAAGTGGCAGGTCACTTTGTCCTATAGACTGGCTGTGCATTGGAATGGACTCAGTAGCAGTGGGTTTGGTATTTTGTTGTTCGTGCGCGTGCGCGCGAGTGCAGTGCGTGCACATGTGCATGCTTAAGGCTACAAAGGTTAAAATATATATATCCTGGGCCTCAGTGAGCTTCTGGTTTACTGAGGACGACTCAAACATGCACTAATATCAAGCCAGTTCTGATGCATAGAGACCATGTAGGACAGGATAGAACCGGCCCTGTGGGTTTCTGAGACCATAACTCTTGATGAGAGTAGAAAGCCTCATGTGTCTCCCTTGGAGAGAGGTTAGTGGTTTTGAACTGCTGACTGTGTGATTAGCAGCCCAGAGAGTAACCATTAGACCAGCAGGGCTCCAACCCACGAGGTCAATGACTGTTCACAGTGGGTTCTCCCTCTCCGGCAGAAGCACAGCCAGCGGGGCTGCTTCTTTCAGCAGTGGAATAATAAGCAGGGGGAGGGGGGGGGAGCACCTGACAGGCTAGTGTCACTGGAGAGGGTGAGGGCCAGGTTTTCAGAGCAGCTTCGCTGAGATGAGTTTTGAAGGTGAGGGAAATCGAGGGGAGGGGTTAGGCTAATGCTAGAAGCAGTGAGAGAATGAGCAAAGGGAGAAGAGATGAAGAGAGTGAACATGGCACATGATGGGGGTGGTGTCTGCGTGCGTGCGTGCGTGCGTGCGTGCGTGCAAGAGGAAGCTCAAACCAAGGAGCCCTGGGGCACTGCTGGGTAAGCCCCGGACTGCTAACCACTGCGAGGTTGCTGGTTCCAGCCCACCAGCCCCTCCGTAGGAGAAGGATGGGGCTTCCTGCTCCCGTAAAGAGTGACATTCTCGGAGCCTTACAGAGCAGTGCTAACCTGCCCCACAGGGTCGCTGGGAGTCAGAATGGACTCCGTAGCAGTGAGTTTGGGCTGGTGTATGCATTGGCGGTGGATCTGGTCTGGTGGAAATCAAGCCAGAAGCAGACTGTGAAGGAAGGCGACCTCCTGGGGAGGTTTAGAATTTATCCTGAAGGAGATAAAGAGTTTTAAGGGAAAGCCAAGAGGAAGAATAGAAGTTGGATGGCATGATGGGCTGTACTTTTAATTTCTAAATTATGGAACATATTATATGCCTGCTGTTAATTCAGAATTTACACCATCCAACAAGAATCTATGTCCAGCTCAGCAGCGGAGTTTTGAGTTTCTTTGAGTTTCCAGACCTGTGCCCTCACCCTTTTCCCACTGGTTCCTCCCTCATTACCATAAACTCACTGCCCACCCCTGCCCCCCAGCTTCCTGTCTAACCCTTGCTGCTGCTGCTTGCTGTCAATTTGAGCTCACCTAGGGAGATCTTAAAGGAGTACATGCTCAAGGAAGCCATTCCCTGCTAGTTGAGCCACACAGAACTGTGGCTTGCTTTTAAGGAGGCTTGAGGGGCGTATCATTTTCTTTTTAAGAAAATCAGCCTCCCTGCTGTCTGGGAAATGGAATTCAGAAGGCAGATGGGAGGGTAGGAGACCTAGGGCAAGGACAGCATCTGGGGAGAGATGCGCCTGAGTGGGAGGGAGTGGACATGGGAGCTGAGTGGGCAGTGGCCAGATGCTCTGAGCAGGGTGAGCCACGTGTCTGCAGGGACTCACTCAGGACCTCACCCACCAAGTTCTCCTGAAGCCAAACCCCAACCAGCTGCTTCTGCGCTGATTCCAACTCATAGCGACCCCTCGAGTTTCAGAGTGGAACTGCACCCTCTGTGTCAGAGGGTTTGGGGGAGGGAGACTGCCAGGCTTTTCTCCTGAGGCATCTCTGGGTGGATCTGAACGGCCGGCCACCCATTTGGTTTGGTGAGTAGCTATGTGCGTGTTTGTGCCACCAGGGAATCCTACTCAGAAACAACCCAGCACAAACTATAACAACATTGCTGTCTTCAGTCAGTTTGGACTCACATTAGCCGTTTAGGACAGAACAGAACTTCTCACGAGCGTGTCCTAACCCTTTCCCAGAGTGGACAGCCTTGGCATTCTCTGGAGGAACCGTGGGTAGGTTTGAACCACTGACTCTGCGGTCAGCAGCCCCCCACTTTACCCGCTGTGCCAGGGCACTTTCTACTGTGGGAAGGCCATGGAAAATTCTCAGGGATTCTGATGTGCTCCCAGGGCTCTGTCGGATGTACTGACATTTCCTGAACTTTGGAATTGCTACTCCGTTTCTCTGAATACATATGGTTTAGAAATATGGACATAGAGGTAAAGCTAGAAAGAAGACTAACGGAGTGATTAGCGCCACAATCAGGGTAGCCATTACCCCTGGGGGTGAGGGCTAGGTCATGTGGACAGAGCAAATACGGTTCCTAAAGTTCAGATTTATGGTATCGCGGGTTACGCGTTGGTCTGCTAACCCCAAAGTCAGCAGTTCCAAACCACCAGCTGCTCTGTGGGGGGAAGAGGAGGCTTTCTGCTGCCTCACAGATGTATAGCCTTGGAGCTCGCAGGGACAGTACTTCTTCATGTTACAGGGCTGCTATGAGTCAGAACAGACTCAATGGCAGTGAGTGGATGAGAGCGAGAGACGTCACAGAGACAGAGAGAGCCCAGGTAACGCAATGGCAGCACCAAAGGGAGGGGGCAATTGCTTATACACTGAGACGTGAACAGTTCCTAATGTCCACATGCTCTGAAATTGCATCTCACCTAGATAGCAGACCCTTCTCTGGGGTAGCCATCCGTGAAGACCTAGGGTCCACTCTCTCGGGCCAGTCAATGTCCTTGGGTGGGGCACATGTGTTTAGGAAAAGGCCCTGCATGGCCTGGGACAGGGTGCTGGGAGGCCAGGCTGGGGCTGGGAAGTGGGAAGATGGGGGTGGGGGGAGGCGGGGGAGTTTGTCTGCCGGCCCACCTTTGCTTCAAGACCACTCACCTCACAGCTTTGACTCGGTGCCACCTGCCATCATTGAAGGAGCCATTCACCGTGATGGATGCCACTCCACTCCCCAGGTTATAGCTACAGACACCAGCGGAGCACAAGATAGGAAAGAAAAGAAAACAGTGAGGGGCAGGCTGGCACCATCCACAAAGGACTCTCATAGCACATGTGCTTTGCAACTTTGGGTGGATGCCGTTTCTTCAGACAAAACAACACTAGGTTGTGAAACATGGGCGATGCCCAGGCTGGCCCAGCATGATTTTTTTATGTCCCATGTGGTGAAACCGCAGTACAAGAGGCTAGGGAACAACAGGGAGGGCTTGACCCCGTGGAATGAGGTGTCTAGATGCCTTTTACACCCCATCACCATGGAGGATGAGCCCCAAAGAGATGGGAACTTGCCTAAAAGACCCACACTAATAAGCAGGAGACGGAGACCTTGAACGTGGTCTATTGTCTCCTCCGCAGTTTACTTTGATCTGAGGCCTATTCAGGAGCCCTTGTGCCATAGTAGTTATGTGTTAGGTTGCCAATCACAACCCACCAGGTGCTCCATGGGAGAAATGCAAGTTCAGTGTCAGAAACCAGCAGGGGCAGTTTTACCCCCGCCCTATAGTTCCTATGAATCGGAATCAACTCAGTGGCAGCGAGTATGGGTCTTTTGTTTCTTTGGTTTGATTTTGAGATCTACCCAAATGATGCTGGCGAAGAATATCAAAAGCCCACGGACTTCCAAACGAACAAACAGGTCTGTCTTGGAAGAAGTACAGCCAAAATGCTCCTTAGCGGCAAGAAGCATGTTGTCAGGAGAGACCAGTCTCTGGAGAAGGACATCCTGCTTGGTGAAGCAGCAGCCCAGCAAACACGTGGACGACCTTGGACAAGGTGGATGGACACAGTGGCTGCACCAATGGGCTGCAACCTGGAAACAATCGTTTTCACCTGGGGTCACGGTGAGTCCGGAGCGGCTGGACGGCACCTGACAACACCAGGTGCTTTCTTCTTTCTTTTTCAGGTGCCAGACGCTCTCAGAGGACACGGATATGTTGGTTCCCAGAGAGAAACATCCTTCTAAGCCAGTGTTCATTTGATTATTCGAATTTAATTCAATTCAAGAAAATATTTATTGAGTGAGTGCTCTGGGCCGGGCACTGAGCCAGCCGCCTAAACCTCTTTTGATAATTACAGTCGGTAGCATGCTGCTCTGGAAGGAAAATGTGTTGGTTTACCTGGGGGCAACTCCCCTCTTCTTGTAAGAGGGGGTGCCGCTCCTTGACCTCTCAAGCTGAAAGCAGAATCACTGCTATCAGGTCAATTCTGACGCACAGAGACCCTACAGGACAGGGTGGAACTGCCCCTGTGGGTGTCCGAGACGATAACTCCTCATGGGAGTAGAAAGCCTCGTCCTTCTCCCAAGGAGCAGGTGCTGATCTCAAACCTTGAGGGCAGCAGCCCAAGCCCTAAGCACTACGCAGCCAGGGCTCATTGCCCAAGCAACGGGGCTGGCTGCCGAGCCATCTGCATCCATTCACTTTGAGCCAAGGGCCAGCAAAGAAAGCCCTGGGTTCCCCAGGGAAATCACCACGGGTTGCTTCTTGAATAATTGAGGCTCAGAAAAGAAGCCATACCGCTCGTGAACATGTGAGCCAAGAATAGAATGTGGGTGACTTGACAAACCATGGGACAGAGCTGCTACTCTGACCCTGAGAAATGCACAGTTTCCTAGTGCATGTTCCCACATCAATTGCCTCCTTGTACGCAGCAGCCTGGAGGTGGGGTTTTCAGACTGCATTCTCTGGTGGCCACGTGCTTGTTGAAGAAGTGAAGGAGGAGGAGGCAGGGCTGCAGGCTGGGGGTGTTGCTGGCAGAACCTGGCCCTGCATTACGAATCCAAGGCCCTGAAAGGCAGTGCAGGGGTGCGGGGTGGAGAAGGAATAGGGACTCTCGGATTCACCCTCTCCCCCACCCCGACCTCCTGCCGCCTTGACTCCCAGGCCAGTGTACTAGCTCCGTGACCTTGCAAACTTGGCTTCTTCTGTCCAAGCCGGAGTCTTCTCATCTGTAAAACGGGGTTAGGAATACCTTCCCTGGAGAAGGGCCAGGGACGCTCACTCAGGGAGCACACGGACAGGACGTGGCACCCCAAACCAAACCCACCGGCATGGACTCCATTCCGACTCATGGCGTCGAGCTGTGAGGGACAGGGGCCATCTTCTCCGTAGGCTTTACTTGACGGGAATCTTTAGGAAAGCAGACAAGCAGCTCTTTCTTCCTCAGAGGTGCCGAGTGGGTTTGAACTGGCAATCTTGAGGAGAGCAGCCGATTGGAAATCACTCCCACCAGGCAGGGTCCACAGTACAGGGGGCCCCTAGTCTCTGGGGAAGGACGTCATGCTTGGTCAAATGGAAGGGCGGCAAAAAGAGGAAGTCCTTCAATGAGACGAGTTGACACAGTGGCTGCACGGATGGGCTCAGGCTCAGGAACCGCTGTGAGGATGGGGCAGTGTTTTCTCCTGTCTCGCATAGATAGATAGGGTTGTTATGGGTTGGAACCGACCTGGAGGCACCTGAAAATAGCAGCGCAGATGGCATACAGGTTGACAATGTGTTCAAGGAAGAAGCAGGCAGGTGGATGTGGGTGGCAGAATTAAACCTGTCCAGCCATGTGTGTGAGTGAAGCAGGTGGCTGTCACTATGAAATCAGAGTCAAGGGGAACGGAGAGAGTGGCATCAGGGAGGCTGCAGGAGTTTGAGCCGCAGGGAGTAAGCCAGTGAATGGCAACCATTGTCATTGTGCTCGGGCAGAGGTTCCTGTGAGCACTTTCTCCATGCACGCACTCCTGCAGTTGCCCAAGAGAGTCCCCCTGGCCCGGGTTGCATCTGATGGAAGTCCCAAACGCCAGTGATGTCACCTCAGGGAGGCCCCTCACATGTCAGTGCAGGCCTGTGCTTCAGGGGCTTTCCAGGGCTGGTTGTTTTCAGAGCAGGTGACCAGGCCTTCCTTCCGAGGCACTCCGATGCACTGCCAAACTTTCAAACAGCAGTGACCTTTCAAATAAATGTTTGCGTTGCTCAGAGACTCCTGATGCAAGGTAGACCTCAATAAAAGAACAAAGGAAGTAAAAGAACGGAATGAAGGGAGGCACGCCTGGCTTGCATAGCAATGTCTTGTGAGCCTGGTTATCCTGACCTGCAAGACCCCGGAGTCTAAGCACCAGGCTGGGCCACCCAGGAAAGGCCCAAAGCACTTCGTCACCTTCATTTGATGCCTCTTCTAGGTCATCAGAGGAAAGTCCCCCTCCAACTGTCGCACCGGGCACTTCACCAATGTCGAAGCTCTTCTTCTCTGTGGCATGAACACACTCTCAAGGGGGCATGGAGAGTTGCTGGTTCAGACAAGCGGAGCTGGTGCTGCCTGGAGGACAGTTCCTAACAGCAGGAGCCGAGGACCAGTCGTCGGTCACACAGAGAGAGCTTGTCTGCAGCCAACCGCTGAGTGCAAAGACCCGCTTCCACGTGTTTTGTTTGGAAGACAGCCAGTGTCTGTCCCGACTGGGACCCTAGCAGGCACCCTTTGTGACTCCAGTCTGTTAGCTCAGTGGCTCCGCCCAAGCGACCTTTCCTCCTACCAGCGAGGCAAAGGAGCCTCAGGAGGTGACAGAACTTTGGACACATCCCTGCGCCAGGGAGCAGGCCAGGTTGGCTGCAGAATGCACGCTTTTTCTCTCTTCGGATGGAAGCACTTCTCAAAGGTCTGAAACCCCTGCCCCAGGAACCCTCAGGATGATCAGCTCCATCAGATTGGTGTCTCCCTCCAGACCTCTCTCTGGGGACAGGCAGGCCCTGGAAGCCACCTTTTCACGAACTCTCCAGGAGACCTGGCTGTGTGCCGGCATTTTCAAGCCCCTGGCCCCCACCCCCACCTTCTCCATGTTTGTCTGGGTGAGTGGATGTGGGGGAGTCACCGGTCAGATGAAGGAGATCAAGTTCAAGTAAAAGTATCCACGGGCTGCAGACCAGACTGGGGAACAGGGCAGGCGTCCACTTTGGCCTAAGCTGAGTGGCCGATCTTTTTC